TGTCTCACTGCTAATAAGATGTTGACAAGTTTGCCAAATGGGCAGACACCTGGCAAATGAATTTCGATGCAGAGAGATGTCGGGTAATATATTTTGGTAGAAGAAACATGGAGAGGCTTTAAAGGCTAATGGTACAACTTTGAGGGAAGTACAGGAGCAGAGAGATCTCAGGGTTCATGTACATGATCCTCTGAAGTTGAAACAGTTGTTAAGAAGGTTTATAGAATCCTTGGGTTTATAAATAGAGGCATAGAGTAAAAAAAGAAAGGAAGTGATGCTACATCTCCACAAATCATTGGCCAGACCAGATTTAGAGTTTTGTGTTTGGTTCTGGGCACCTTATTTAAGGAAGGATACTAAAACCGTGGAGAAAGTGCAAAGGAGATTAACTGGAATGATACCGGGAATGGGGGATTTTAGATACAAGGAAAGATTAAAAAAAAAACAGATTGTGCTTAATATCCTTGGAGCAGAGGAGATTAAGAAGTAAGCTTAATAAAAACCAAAAGAACTGTGAATGCTGTAAATCAGGAACAAAAACCAAGTTGCTGGAAAAGCTCAGCAGGTCTGGCGGCATCTGTGAAGGAGAAAACAGAGTTAACATTTCGGGTCTGGTGACCCTTCCTCAGAAATAAGCTTATTGAGGTGTTGAAAATGATGAACAATTTTGATAGGGTAAAGGAGGATATTGTGTTTCCACTGGTTGGTATGTCAGTAACTAGGGGACACAATTTCAAAATTGTCAGCAAGAGAAATAGGAGTGAGATGAGGAGAAATTTGTTCACTCAGAGAGTCATTAGGATTTGGAATGCGCCGCCTGGGAGAGTAGTGGAGGACAAATCCATTGGAAGTTTCAAAAAAAAATTGGATATATATTTGAAAGGGATGTATTTCAGGGAATGTGCGGATAGGGCTGGAGAATGGGACTCGCTAGGTATTTCTTCCGGGAACCAGAACAGACATGATGGGTCTCCTGTACTGTAAAGTTCTATGATTTTATTAATTTAATCCAGGGCACTGAACGGAAAGAAAGACTTTTACATTTCTAAATACTTTTCATGAATTTAAGACATGCCAAAGATATGCAGACAACTGTAGTGTTTCTGAAGTGTAGTGACAAATGTAATGAAGAAAACATGGCATCCAATTTGTTCACAGTACGCTCTTATAAGCAGCAGTGATAAAGACCACATAATCTGCTTTTAGATGTTATTTCAGAGATTGAGATGAGCCAGAAATTATTGTAATTATAGATGTGAGCCATAAGGGTTTTGGTGGCTCAGAAGATCTGGTCTTGAGACCACTTGACCCAGAAGTGTGTCGTAACTTGTCCAACCAGGCTGATTTTTTTAAAAATACATTTTCTTTTAGCATGTGAGTGAAATCAAACTTTCACTAGACAGCCACCTTTTCCCCATCTTCAAAATCCTTTCAGTCAGAACACAAAGTCAGGAATGTTTGACTGAAATGTGTTGAGTTGCTTCTCTGTTTCATCTGACAGCCTCTTAAAATTCCTAACTCTGTAGTCGCTTGATATGACAGAAATTTAAATGCACAAGGGCTGTAAAGTAAGTGATTAAAAAAGTAACAATGAATTTATGCAAAATACCATTTTGGTCACAGTTGGATCATTGTAGTTTCAGAAGTCTCATTATAGAAAGGACATTAAAACCATACAGTGCTTGCATTGTACAGTCACCAAGGCTAGAATGGTTTTAATTAGATATTTTCACTCTTGTATAGATTGAGATCAGCAGACTGTACATGTTATAAAGGTAGTGAACTCCTTGAGAGTACTCAGAACAGCTTTCTGCAACAATATGTCTACAGCCAACATGGGAGCAGGCCATATTAGACTTAGTAATGAATAATGAGCCATTTGTCTAAGAATTGTTACAGTGTGATTGAGTTAAAATAGTATTCAAAGGATGAATGCCAGACAGCTGATAAGGGCTGAAATTTCACAGAGGCAGGAAACAGTGGTGGTATCTGCATGGAAACTGGTACCCAGAGGTTTAATAAAATACTTTCTGTTTTGGCATTTGCTTAATGGAATTTACTTAAATCGTTTTAACAATTATTACTGTCTGTAATATCTAGATATAAGAACACGTACTTAAATTGGAATTTATTTTAAATGAGTTTCTCGCTAAAATGTTTCCTTGCAAGAGAGGTTTTTTTTTCACTTTGCTTCATTCATGGGATTAGGTGTCTCTGGTAAGGCCAACATTTCTTGCCCTTTCTCAATTGCCTTTGCAAAGCTACCAGCTTGAACTGCTGCAGTTCAGTTTCAACATTTGTGGAGCAGTTTGATAAATGGAAATATTAGCAAATGGAATATTGTCCTTCCTTGCTAGAGGGATGGAGTTTAAAAGCAGGGAGGTTATGCTGCAACTGTATGGGGTGCTGGTGAGGCCACATCTGCAGTACTGTGTGCAGTTTTGGTCTGATCCAGAGGGTTAGTTTATGAGGAGAGATTGAGTAGAGGGGGACTATATTCATTGGAATTTAGAAGAATGAGGGGGTGGCGTGTTCTTACAGAAACATATAGAATTATGAAGGGAATAGATAAGATAGAATCAGGGAAGTTGTTTCCACTGGTGGGTGAAACTAGGACTAGGGGGCATAGCCTCAAAATAAGGGGGGAGCAGATTTAGGACTGAGTTGAGGAGGACCTTCTTCATCCAAAGGGTTGTGAATCTGTGGAATTCCCTGCCTAGTGAAGCAGTTCAGGCTACTTTGTTGAATGTTTTTAGGGTAAAGATAGATTTTTGAACTGTAAAGAGATAAGGGTTATGGCGAGAGAATGGGTAAGTGGAGCTGAGTCCACAAACAGATCAGCCATGATCTTATTGAAGGGCAGAGCAGGCTCGATGGGCCAGATGGCCAACTCCTGCTCCTGTTTGTTATGTTCTTATGGTGCAACTGAGTGGCTTGCAAGGCCATTTCAGAAAGCAGTTAGGAGTCACCCACATTACTGTTTGTCTAATGCCATACATTAGTCAAAACAATGAAGGACCCTTTACTAAAATGAACAAGATGTATTTTTGTGACAATCAATGATTGTCTCACCATTACAGAGACTAGCTTTTAATTCTGGAATTATTAATTCATTGAATTTTATTAATTAAATGTTAATTTTACCAATTTTTGTAAATACTGTAGTTTTGCTAACTGCCATAATTGGTATTGAGCCCTTGCACTCAGTATTAGGCTGGGCTGCTAGATAAGGTATCTAGTGATATTTATCTACACCACCATGTTCCCCAAACAAGTTCCCCAAATCTGCTTCCATTCATTGTCAGATCAGTGGTTGTGTTGACACGATTCTACCGAGCACTTCCTTTTCATGTATGAAGGTGACATGAAGAGGACATCTTTTACTCAATAACAGTCGCGATCTTTCTGCCTGAAAAGGGGAGTTAAATGAGATTCAGTAGCTATGCTTGAACTGGATAAATAACTAAAGGGGGATTGTTGACAAGGGAATGGGGAAAGGGCAGGAGCAGAGCAATTAAAGAACCAAGAGGCGTGATTGGCCAAAGGCTTCCTGCTGTATTGCACCACTTTCTGATTCTGTTAAATACAGTGAACAAAGAACAGTACGGCACAGAAACAGACCCTTTGTCCCACTTAGACTGCGCCAACATATCATCCCTTTCTTAACCAACAATCCTTTGTCTCTCCGTGCTCCATATCCTTCTATTCCCTGCCTATTCCATATCTCTATCAAGATGCCTCAAAAACGTTGCTATTATATCCACATCTACCACCTCCCCTGGCAGTGCATTCCAGACACTTACCACCTTCTGTGTTTAAAAAGAGCCTGATTCTCACATTTTGTTTAAACTTTCCCCCTTTTACCATAAACATTTCTGGGACGACTGGGAAGAAAACCCCAACCATCTAATCTATCCATTCTTCTCATAATTTTGTAAATTTCTATCAGATCGAATCAATGTTGGCTCCTGAAATGCAACAAGGATTTCCATCCCATTAATCTCAGCTGGACTCGAACTCCGATCCTTGTACACTTCTAGCTGCCTCGGAAGGGCACCCAACATCATCAAAGACCCCTCCCACCCCAGTTATAATCTCTTCCAAGCTCTTCCGTCAGGCAGAAGATACAAAAATTTAAACACATGTACCAACAGATTCAAGAACAGCCCCTTCCCCACTGTTATTAGACTCTTGAACAGACATCAAATTTCAAATCTAATGTTGATATTGCTTTTGTGAACCTACTTTGTAGCTGTAACTTTGTATCCCTCTCTCTGTTCTATGATCTTTGTATATAATGATCTGCCTGTAATGCATACAAAACAAAACTTTTCACTGTACGTAGGTACATGTGAGAATAATAAATCAAATCCAAAAAAAAACTGTCTAACCACAGTGCTACCCGCTGCTTAATCCTTCCAGGGAAGGCAACTCAATTTAAGGTGAATAAGTTCTTCGCTGATACTTGTAGGCCAGCTCTGTCCAAGAGGAGAACGCGGTGGCTGAGAACATAAGAACATAAGAAATAGGAGCAGGAGTGGGCCATCTGACCCATCGAGCCTGCTCCGCCACTCAATAAGGTCATGGCTGAACTTTTCCTGGACTCAGCTCCACTTACCCGCCCGCTTACCATAACCCTTAATCCCTTTACTGTTCAAAAATCTATCTTTGCCGTAAAAGCATTCAATGAGGTAGCCTCAACCGCTTCACTGGGCAGGGAATTCCATAGATTCACAACTCTTTGGATGAAGAAGTTCCTCCTCAACTCAGTCCTAAATCTGCTCCCCCCCTTATTTTGAGGCTATGCCCCCTAGTCCTAGTTTCACCCACCAGTGGAAACAACCTCCCTGCTTCTATCTTATCTTTTCCCTTCATAATTTTATATGTTTCTGTAAGATCCCTCCCTCATTCTTCCAAGTTCCATGAGTATCATCCCAGTCTACCCAATACTTCCTAAGTATTTGTTGCTTCGACCTTAACTTATGTCTGTTCACTTACAGATGAGAAGCCAGTCTCGCTATCTCCCTACGAAGCCCCAGCGAACAGCCCACGGTACGTGTTCAACCAGAGAGAGCGGGAGTCCCTGGAAGTGCGGGTGCGAGAGGTAGAGGAGGAAAACCAGGCCCTTCGTAAGCAGCTCAGCCTGGCCCAAAGCCGGGTCCATCACCATAGGAACCATTCCAAGAGTTATTCCACGGAGGAAGGCACGGGGGACAACGAGGTGGTGCATGCATTGGCGTGGAATAGTTCGGAATGTGGCAAAAGGCCCACTGTGGAAAAGTGTGAGGTAATTCTGCTTCTGACACTTGATTCACTCCCCTTCTGTCCACCTCACTTGTTAGTTTTTCCTGACTGTGATCAAAAGATGGATAAAAGTTTACCACGCATGTGGAGTTGATTTGGCTTATCATGTTTGTGCCAACTCTTTGTCAGATCAATGCACAGTATTCCCACTTCCCTGCTTTCCCCAGTATCACCTTCTGCTTGATTTGTTTTTCTAATTTCACATAAAAAGTGTAAAGGTTTCTTACTTAAGTGACAGGCCACAGTTGCATGATGAAGTACCATCATTTGTTTTATCTGTATTATCATCGCAATCTGATACCTGCCGCTACAATGATATTTCAACAAACCAATTGTCTGTCTTTATTTCTGTATCTGTCTGGCTGTCTCTCCCAGCCCAATGTTGCCTATTGTACCGTCTCACAATTACGAGTTGGACTGGCTCAAGGGAGATGACATTTGAATGTAAAAGGTCTTTTCCTCACATATTCTGTGGCAAAAGGGCTGTTTCCATAATGGGTTAAGTCTCCTCAAAATGTACCTTTCACCTTCATGTCTGTTGTGAGTTTGATGACATATAAAAACTTACAATTGCCCCTGAAAAGGTATAATCAATCTAAGAACATGAAGTTTCCCTGCATGTCTGTTGCAAAAAGTGATAAATGTCAACTCTTAAGTTTGATTCAGACTAGGATGAATAACTGGGTGGTTAAACAGGAAGATGATTATACAAGAGTAGCAGGCAGTTAAGAACAGAATTTACATGATGTATAGATTTTAATGCAAAAAATCTCTGAAAGCTGCTTTTGAGGATAGTGACCAGAGGAACCTCAACACCAACTTACAGTACTAGACTTGAACATGATGTGAACAGGAAATGAGAAGTTCCACTTCTTTTGGTTGTCTCTCACTGGATGTCTGATGGACATAACCTCAAAATGCCTGTTCAAACCGGTTCGCATCAAATAGACGATATGTAGGAGGTTACTCAAACCCCTGACAAAGCTCTAAATTACTGACCTCATAGGTACCACAGGGCCTCGTTTCAAAAGCATAAAAGATCTAAAATCCGATCTTATGTTTGCACTACTAAATGGACCAAAACAATGTACAACCTGATCACCTCTTGGAACAAAGATCCTTTCATGGTTCTGCCATTTAGAATGCAATGCATTCATCCATAAGCTTTTAACATTCGTCAGCAATTGAAACCAATCCTATGTCAGATTGGCATAAGCTCAAAAATGCATTCAAATTACGTATTGTCCGTCAAAGAATCAATGTACTGATTATTGCCTGGGACCAAACTTACACATCCTGCTGAACCTTACGCTTACATAGCTAAGTCTGAATTTCGTCAGGCTGCCAGGGTTTGGTGATGTGCCCTCCTCTGCCAGTCCTCTGGGAAGAGGATGCCCCTCTTTCACACCACCTGTTCAACCTGGAGTTCCGTGCCCCGGTCAGAGAATTGTCATGCCACCTTTCCCTTCTCACAAATTTGCAGCAAATATCCTTGAGGCGAGGTCAAAGGATGCCAGTCCATCAGGGGAAGTCCACTGGCCAGTTGTTCTGCGAATAGAGTGGAGTAAATGGGGCTAGAATCAAAGGTGATGGACACCATAGGGGCAGAGTAGATAGCTAATGAGGTGAGTTTGATAAAACATGGCCAGTGAACCCCTTCGGCCCTGCAGTGGAGCTCTGTCCAGAACACCTGACCAAACTCAGACTTACAGATAGTAGGAACTGCAGCTGCAGTTTTTTCTGATGAAGGGTCTAGGCCCGAAACGTCAGCCTTCCTGCTCCTATGATGCTGCTTGGCCTGTTGTGTTCATCCAGCTCTACACCTTGCAAACTCAGACTTAGCTATGCAAGCATAAAGTTCAGTCCCCTGCCTCCATTCTATAGCTTTTTAATAAACAGGCTTGGCTACAATCAGATTCCTCTTCTGACAATTCCGTGCATTCACTCAATACTATATTCTTTCATTAATGTTTCCAGCCAGAATCCTGGTGAACGAATACAGCTCATTCATTAGATAACATGAGTTTCCTGAACTCATCTTCAACAAGAGTATGTCTTCCTCTCTGACAACTCCACAGCCTTCTGCTTCTAGAGTTTTTTTTTCTAAGGAATTCAGGGTTTATCTCAGCTCTGACTGCTTGGGGGTCTGCTACTAACAGCACTTCTGCGGTTATGTTCCTCTTCCCTCTAAATAAACCTGCTTCCGACCTCTGTGTTGTAAAACTCACCTCAGCAAACATCTTAACAGGGATCTCCCTGGGTGGCTTGCTGTTCATTTAGCTAATATCACATGACTTCTTGTAAATTTTTTTTCATTCGCTGTTCGAAAATGACTTTCTGACCTTTGAAAAAGGAATGGCCTCCGCATAACTGAAATCTAAAATCCTCTACTTCAGAACCCAAGATTCCAAACAACAATGATATATAATGATTTTTTATCACAGTAGTGGAAATAATTGAAATCTGCTCGCTATATTACATTTCGTTCTAAAGCATTCGGCGTTAAAATCCATTCCACTAGTTGCACAGTGTTAGAATTCAGCCACGGAGTTTACTCAAGCAAAATCTGGGTTCCATCCTTCCAAGGTACAGTGCTTTGAAAGTACAAAACAGCAACTTTTTGATTGGGATTCTATCTCCTGACTAGAAAGTTTACTGAGGAAAAGAGAATCGATCTAACCTGCATTGATCAGAGAGGGAGCCAGTTCTTATGCTCTCTCTCAGTCATACTTTGGTTTACTCTGGCTTGTGTTTCCTGTTATGCTCAAGCCTGGTCCTGATTTTTAATGTCACAGTACCAGGTTCCAAATGGCAAAGAAGATCATGTGATTTGGAAATTTCACCCTTTAACTTTGCAGTATAGATACCACCTGGTGCTGCACTAAGCCATTCAGAGGAGAACATCTCATTGTTCATAGTCAGTGCAGTAGTTGGCAAAGTACATTTGGTTTTATCACCTGTAGAGCTACTGAGGAATAAAATCCCCCAGTTTCCCTGATCCTAATCCTCAGTGACAGAAATGGAAATTGGAAGCATCAAGTATCAGATGGCACGGTGGCTCAGTGGTTAACACTGCTGCCTCACAGTGCCAGGGACTTAGGTTTGATTCTACCCTCAGGCAACTGTCTGTGTGGAGTTTGCACATTCTCCCCATGTCTGCATGGGTTTCCTCCGGGTGCTCCGGTTTCCTCCCACAGTCCAAAGATGTGCAGGTTAGGGTGGATTGGCCATGCTACATTGCCCATAGTGTCCAGTGATGTGCAGGCTGGGTGGGATAGCCTTGGGAAATGCAGGATTACATGGACAGGGTAGATGGGTGGGTCTGGGTAGGATGCCCTCTGGAGGGTTGATGTGGATTTGATGGGCCGAATGGTCTGCTTCCACACTGTAGGAATTCTGTGAGTGCAGATAGTTGGTTGAGAAGAGAATTGACCTTGACTATGATGCCCAATGCAGTTGAACAGCCTAACAATGCTTGCTGTCTTTGGAAATTGGCCACACAATTGAGACAGTGGGGGAGATCAGTACCTCAAACTAAACCTCATAAATGGCCAGCTCCTTTGGAAGATGAGAAGAAAATTAGTGAAAAGGTGTGTTTGACCATTTAAAAATATAACTTTTTTGGGGTTTTCTTTTTTAAACAGACAATCCACATTGCCATTGTGTGTGCAGGATACAATGCAAGCCGCGATGTTGTGACCCTTGTAAAGTCCGTTCTGTTTCACCGGTATGTATGCACTGTGCTCTATTTACAATAAGCTTCTTTCACTTCGAACAATTTCTCCTTTAACTCCTCTCACTTGCTCCAAGTCAAAGCTGTAGCCATCAGTAACCTGTATGGGTCCCAGTAACTCCTGTCTCTTTGTGGGGTATGTGGAACATTCCTTGTTCCAGTCTTACTTGGGGCCTCCCCCTCTCTTTCCAATACGTTGATGATATCATTGGTGCTGCTTCCAGCTCTCAGAATTGTAGAGAAATTCCATTTGGCTTGTAATCTCCATCCTTATCTCACTTTTACCGGGTCCACCTGGCTCCTCCCTTGCCTTCCTTGCCCTCCCTTGTTTTCATTAGGCTAGCCACCAATATCCATTACATACCCAGTGACTCTCACGGTTACCGTGACCGTACTTCTTCACATCCTGCTTCGCGCAAAGATTCCATTCCATTCCCCGAGTTTCACCATCTCTGTCACATCTGTTCCGAAGATGCTACCTTCCACCAGAGTGATTCTAGCAGTTCTTCCTTTTTTCTTCATCCCAAGGTGGTTGATGAGGCCCTCAGCCATCTCCAATCCATTTACCTAACTACTGCCTCACCCTTTCCCTTCCCTTCCCTCCAGAACATCAACAGGATTCGCCTTGTCCTCACTTTGCACCCTACTAGCCTGTGCATTCAAATGATCATCCTTTGCAATCCCCACACCTCTAGAAGGATGCCAGTCCCCATTGTGGTATTAAGCGATGACGCCCACCGCTGATCACCATGTGGTACCTGTGAGCAGTAGGGTACTGCCACTTCCTCTCTTTCATTTGACTGGGTCCAAGGGCCTATTTGGTTTGCGATGGCAAAGCGATAACCACCAGTGACTAATCAGATTATGTAGTTTATTGCGTGACAGCAGTTAGATACAAGTTAAATTGGCTAGTTAGGTATTGTCACTGAGACTATTGGAAGACATAGATATCTATCTCCTGCAACTCCCAGCACCATTTTCTCAGTTTCCCCAATTGACAGTGTATGACATCATCAGATTGGGTGGAGCTTAGTGCAGTCTTTAACTTTAACCCTCTCAGAACCATTATCTTACATTACACTACCTACAATCTTTGATACAACTAATAATTCCACCGTCTGAGGTAAGCTGCCATTTCTAAATGGTATGGAGTGTTGAATTTATCCCACACAGAGACATGCATTAAATACGCATAAAAGCACTACCTAGTCCCTCTATATTCATCCATCCAGAGACATCTTGTATTGCTTCATTACACCTTCCACTTTCTGTTTAATATCAAGATTATAGCTTCTAGGTAACACCATTGCAGGTGTGAGAAACCTTATACAACCAGTTTTAGAAAGTCTAAAATAAATTCAATTGGGTCAATGGGCTGAAGAGTGGCAGATGGAGTTTAATTTGGATAAATGCGATGTATTGCATTTTGGTGACCTTGGGTAGTGTTGCAGAACAGAGAGACCCAGGGGTTCAGGTACATAATTCTTTGAAGTTTGTGTTACATGTAGACAGGGTGGTTAAGAAGGCGTTTAGCACACTTGCCTTCATTATTCAGACCACTGAGTTTAGGAGTTGGGACATTATGTTGAGGTTGTACAGGACGTTGTTGAGGTTGTACAGGACGTTAGTGAGGCCTTTTCTGGAGTACTGTGTCCAGTTCTAGTCACCCTGTTATAGGAAGGATATTATTAAGCTGGAGAGGGTTCAGGAAATATTTACCAAGCTATTGCCGGGAATGGAGGGTTTGAGTTAGAAGAGGCTGGATAGGCTGGGACTCTTTTCACTGGGGCGTAGGAGGTTGCACATGACCTTTTAGAGGTTTATAAAATCATGAGGGGTGGAGATGAGCCAAATGGCAGGTATCTTTTCCCTAGGGTGGGGGATTTCAAGACAAGGGGGCATATTTTTAAGTTGAGAGGAGAAAGATTTAAAGAAGACAAGGGGCAATTTTTTTTTTAACAGAATGGTTTGTGTGTAGAATGAACTTCCAGAGGAAGTGTGGGTACAGTTACAACGTTTAAATGACATTTGGATAAGTACATGAATAAGAAAGATTTGGAGGTATATGGGCCAGGAGCAGGCATGTGGGACTAGTTTAGTTTGGGATAGTGGTCGGCATGGACTGGTTGGACTGAAGGGTCTGTTTCTGTGCTGTATGACTCTGTGGCACCACAATTCCATTTATATAGCGCCTTTCCTAAGATCCAGCTATCCTGACGTTCTTCACATGTGGTTCCATCACTGTTGTAATGTTGGAAGCATAACAATCAATTTGCACGCAGCAAGCTCCCATATATAGTAACTTGAACATGTCCAGATAATCTGTTTAGTTCTGCTGGTTAAGGGATAAATATTGGTAAGAAAGACAGGGAGAACTCCACTACTTCCCTTTGAATAGCATGTGGCAATAGTTATGCTCCTGCACAGGACTCGACGTGACCTTAAATTAATTTATCATCTAATAACAGCACCTGAGGCAATACAGCACTCCCTCAATGCAGCACTGTAGATAAATCTGGATTATATTCTGAGATTCCTGAGTGGAACTCAATCCTATGTAAGATTGGCTAAGCTGAGTGTGATATCAAGTCAGCCAAGGCTCATAATGCCTTTTACTGCTTGGATCTCATTACTGATATTGAAGAAATTTATAGTTCTGCTTTTTCTTAACCAGTTTACCCAGGCACTGTAGGAGGAGAGATCTTTGAATTAGGGTTGATAATGAGAAATGGGGCCAAACGCAAGTTAGAGAGATCTTGCCAACACATAAGACACAACAGAAGAGAAAAATTGCAATAATTACGAACTGGAGTTGGTTCAGAATACGTGAGGCTAAACCTAAACAAGCAAACAATTAAATAATCCCATAAACTAAGAACTGCAGTGCTGTGGTGAGGGAAAAGACTAGGAGAAGCATAAAAGACATACTCGGTTTAGCTGCTGGAGCCAGAGTTTAAGTGAGAGACAACAAGTAGCTCCACATCCTCAGAACCCCAGGGTTAACCAACTTGGCGAATACGCTCACTGACCAATATTGTGCAGGGAATTCAAAGAATGAATTTTTAATTGTCTCTTCTTAATTAATGATGTATGACGCATGTTCAAAGACAGAATGTGATGCCTGAAAGGACAATGGAAGCAGATTCAACGGAGGTTCCTAAAGCATGCTTGGTAGATCCTTAAAATGGAAAGAGCTGTGCTTCTCCAGGGAGAAAGCCAGGGAACGGGACTAATTAGAGAACTCTTTTAAATAGTCAGTACCAGCCAGATGTACTGAATGACCTCTTTCTGCACTGTTTGAATCCTTGATCCTACAACCGGCTAATAGCCCATTTGTTATTCTTGAATTAACCAATAGATGGACAGCCTGAAAGATAGTTTTCGATTTCAGCATTAAACAGGATATTGGCTCTTATTTTTGCACCATCATGGATTTCATCTGAAACCATTCCTCCTGTCACTGTGCCAGACAAAATATGCCTCTACCTCCAGAAAGGCCCAAGGTCACTGAAATAACTCCACAGAGGCTGGTATCCCGTTACCAAGTCACCCTTTATTTACACGTGGAGAGTCCTTGACACTGATCCAGCTCCCTCAGAGTGAACAGAATCTTTGACACTCCTGTTTATATCTTTCAGCCAGGGCTCTCTGATCCGACCAAGTTAACAGCCCTAATCGGGGAACTCATATTCTATGAGGTCCACCTGGCTGACCTCATTACAATCACTACCTTCACCGAAGGGCAAAGAAAAGCAATTTGTTGTTGGGGCGTGAACAATTTGATCATACAATACCTATCTGGCCTCAAAGTGCCTCCTTGCTGCAGACAACAAATATCTTGACTGAACAGAAATGATATACCTAGAGGATAATTATTTTATAAAAGATTAGAAAGCCCTTTTTGGTTGATGGGATGGTGAAAGGTTCTGCTCTGTCTCAAGTCTCTGTTTGCTAAAATACATACAAACACTTTGTAAGCATATAAAACACGCAGGCTAACCTGTGTACTGAAAATACTCAAACAGCTTCTTTCCAAAGTCACAGCTAAGCATCTCAGTGCATTCTATTTTCTTTGCAGGCCTTGCAATTTCTCTGTGAAAAATTCAGGGCCTCTGTGGCCTTGTTATCATGAAGAGAAAAAATTTACATTGCAGCCTGCTCGTAACTCAAGTCCAGCAAAATTCCATTGTAAAGCCGCAATGTTTAATGCATAAATCACACCAGGCTATAACATCCAGACAGTGGAGCTGTATAAGTGCTGTTTGCATTCAGAGAGCTTACAGATGCTGTCTGATAGGATTTCACACAGAGGTAATGCTGGGCTTGTCAAACTTAACATCACTTTCGTTGGAGAATGCTTGATAAGGTATCCCGGTTTTAAAACTCAAAAATGCCTTTACTTACATGAAATACTGTTGGGTCGTCAATGACAGCAAATCTCCCTTGATTTAAGGATATTGCCCACTCATGGTCACATGTTTTTGCCATGGAGCATCATGTGACTGAACAGGCCAATTCTTAACTCTTTGGGCACGTGAGGCAGGGTGTGTGATCCAATGAAGGAAGCGTTCTTTTTTCTTTCCTACAATGTCACCTTTATGCTTTGTCATTAAGGCATTGGGACTTGAAACACAATGCAGCTGGGGTCAAAGGTCACAAACGGCACCATCATTAATGCTGTCAAGCCAAATCACATGGTGTGTGAGGTCCCTCGCCAGCAGTGCCCTTGTTGCTGGTTGAGTTTGTTGAGTCATCGATTGAGATTCTCACCGTCCAGTTTCAACTTCAGTACCAAATTGTTTACTGTAGGGCAATGGCAGGCAGTTTGCTGTTATCCTTTGGCCTTCTGGATAATGGTGAAGGATGTTATCGTGGATTTTACTGCCAGTCACGAGCCATACTGCAAGTCACCTGCGGGTGGATGCGGAGTACGGTGATGGTGTTGTGGTGCAAACTTAGCCAAGGCTCTTCCTTGTGAGTCAGAAGAAGGTTGT